TCGCCGCCCCGCGCGCCCGGCGCCGCCGCGGGCAGCCCGCTGCCGCCACGCCCGCCGATGGCGCCGCAGGTGTTGGTGGCCCCGCGACAGCGGGCCACCGAGTGGATGCCGCCGCCATTCGACCTCGGTCGCTTCCAGGGGCCCCACCCTGCGGGCGCGCTCGCGCCGCGCGTGTGGGGGTCGGCGCCCTCGCACAGCGGCAGCAGCCCGGACGACCGCCGGAGGCAAGTGGGCCCTATCACCCGCTTTGCCAGCATGGGCGCGGCCTCTCGCGGGGTGACGCCTCCGCGGGGGCTCGGACAAGAGCAGCAGCAGCAGCAGCAGCAGCAGCAGCAGCAGCAGCAGCAGCAGCAGCAGCAGCAACCGCTTCCGCATCACTTCAGTAGCCCCATGCCATACCAGGAGCAGCGTGCAGGCGAGGCCCAGCACCTGCTGTCGACGCAGCCGTGCCCACCCCACATGCCGCCCGTGCTGGTGTCCGCCCCCACGGCGGCGCCGGCGCCGCCCGTCGGAGACGGCTGGGCTTCGCATCCAATCCACCGCCGGCCCGGCAGCTATGGCCCGGCCCAGGGTAGCGTATTCCCACTGGCGCCCGACCAGCTCAGCTTGGAGGACCATTGGCGGCTGTGTGGGGGGCCCCCGCCTCCATCAGCGGCCGCTGCAGGCCCGCCCCCTGGCTTTGGGCCGCAGGCCGCCGGATCTCCAGTAAGGATGGCAGCTGCGGCGCCGCAGATTCAGCCAACTGCGAGGTTCCAGGTCCTGCAGCGGCCGCACGAGGCCGCGCAGCCGCCGCTGTCTTGCACTGTGGCACCTGCGGCGGCCACGCCGCTGGTGGCGCCGCTGCCCGCGCCGCTGGTCGCTCCGCTGGCCGCCCTGCAGGGCAATGCAGAGCGGCAGGAGCAATGGCAGCCTGGGCCAGGCCAACGCCAGCCGCCGCAACCGGAGCAGTCAACTCTGCCTGCGCCGCAGAACGCACCGCCACTGTTCACACAATCATATGAGTACAACCTGCAGGCGCAGCAGGCGCAACAGGCGCAGCAGGCGCAGCCAACGTGGCAGCAGGCGCCGACTGCGTATGACGCCCCGCAGCAGCACAAGGATCAGCGGAGGCCTGAGGAGCAACATGGCTACCGCCAGCAGTGGCAGGTGCAGGGGCAAGAGCAGGACAACCAGCAGATCAGGGGTGTGGGTGGGGATGCGGGGGCAGCGCCGCCGTCACCCGAGATGGGTGCACAGGGCCCGGCCAGCGGCGCCGAGGCGCCAGCCAGCGGCAGCGAAGGGGCACCCCTGCTGGACCCATGGGGCGCCCCTTGGCCCAGCCCCCTGAAGGGTGGGAGCCGGGGAGCCGCAGACTACGCGGCCGCGGCGCCCGCTGAGGCGGCGCCGCCCCCGCTTCAGGGCCTCGGCCGGAGCGGAGCTGTGAGCCGTGGGGTCCCTGGGCTGGACGCAGGCGAGGGCGGGGTTGGCGCTGACCTGGCATGCGGTGGGGTGGGTACGCTCCACCACATGACACACGAGCCCGTCGTGGCGCAGGCCGCCGAGCAGCAGCGGGAGTGGGGGAGCCTCAAGGGGGCGTCACCCCGTCGCGCCCCCCACAAGCTTGCGCCTCAGGCAGAGCGTGCGCCGCGGGGCCGCGGCGGGCGCGGACGGCGCGGCGGCTTTCAAGGCGGCAGGCCGCCCCTGGAGGCCAGCGGCTTTGCCTCCGATGCCCTGGGCATGGACAAGGCGCCGGGTGGCGGCGGCCGGGGCGAGCGTGGCAGGGGCCGCGGGCGCGGCGGTTCCTTAGGCGGCAGCATGGCCGGCCCGCGTCCGGCCGAGCACATTGGCAACGGCATTGGTGGTAGAACACTATCGGACGCGCCTCCCGTGGGACGTGAGGGCCGCGGCGAGCTCGGCCGCGGCCGCGGCCGCGGCTTTGGGTGCGAGGGCCGCGGGCGTGGGGGCGGGCTCGGCGCCGCCGCATTTGGCGCAGAGGCTGAGCCTGCAGCTGCCGAGCCCGCCCAGCCGCTCGGCTGGGGTGCGGCCGGCGCACTGCAGCAGGATGACAATGATTGGCAGCAGGATGCGGGCTGGGGGGCATGCGAGGAGGGGCAGCAGCAGCAGGATGCGCAGGCGGGCGGCGCTGAGGACGCGTCGCCGCCGGCAGAGCGACAGCAGGAGTTTGCGAGCGAGCGATTCAGCCGTTTCCAGCAGCAGGAGGGGTCCCAGGAGTTTGGAGGGACGGGGGAAAGGAGCTTTGGCCGCGGGCGGCGCGACGCCAGCCGCGGCCGGGGCGGGCGCGGAGGATACGCGGGCGCCGGTTGCGGCGCCTTCCGTGGCCGGGGCAGGTTTGGCGGCCAGGGCGCTGGGGAGCCTGAGCTTGCCGGCGCCGAAGGCCATGGGGGCGCCGGCAGGCGCGGCCACGGGCGTGGCGGGATGGGGAGGGGCGGCTTCGGGCGCGGCGGCCTTGACGGAGTCGGCGACGGGTACGACGTACAGGGGGAACCGGCGTACGGCGGCAACGGCGACGGCGCAGATGCTGGAGGCAGCCCTGGCGGCGGCAGGGGCCGCGGCGGCGGCCGGGGCCGCGGGCGCGGGCGCGGCGATCAAGGCAGCGTGGCTCCTGCGTTTGAGGCTTCGCTGCCGCCGGAGCCGGATGTCTCAGAGGTTGTGGCCGACCTGGGTTGGGGTGCGCCCGACGAAGAC